GATTTAAGTTTCCGAAAATTGTTAATACCAATACAATATTTTTACAAATATTGTCTTGTGCAACCCTAATTCTCGCCGACCAGTTCTGTCTAATTCGAAATTTTTTTTAAGATTGATATTCAGCTCTTACTAAGATTTGATTGCACTCGTACTTTAGCTCTTTCAGGCGCTGACATTTAGATATGATGCTGAGAGATTTTTGTTACCTTTATTAAGCGTGATCACTTATATATCGTACATATTTATAGGCGATTATGTTGCACAAGAAGTTATGGATCACAATAATGATGTATTTGTCACTGTGTAAGAAAAACATCCATATCATGTAATTACGTACGCGTACTCGTTTTGCGGATTATTAAAATAAAAAAAGAATCATCATTACTATAATTTAAAAGAAACAAACATAATAAGTGTGTACGTGCGTGTGACAAAAATAATTGATAAATTTTCTTATTCTTCTAATAATTATCATCATTTATTATCATGTAGATACGATATTCAGTGGTATACAGCTTCCTTAAACATACAAAAAATGATACTGTTCTTATTGCAAAGAAGTACCAAGATTTTCAGTCTAAATATTGCTGGATTGATTGTGGGATCATTGGAAGGTGCAGTTACGGTAAGAGATATATGTGTATCAGAATATACAGTGTATATTTGGTCTAAGTGTGTATACACTTAGTTATTTTTTTAAATAATAGAGTTATATAAAAAATGTATCAAATAAAAAAGTTATTTTAAGAAGATCTATATGTATAATGTGACATAAGAAGATGCCTGACCGTCCTGTTTTACCGGCCATAATAATTATATATTTGCTTAATATAAGGGTTTTGCGGTGTGTACGTGCAAAATAGGATACCTCTCCACTCGGAAATGCATGAAGAAATATAAGTGAACGTTTGAAAATGTATTTAAAAGCCTAGTAAGAAACATTTCGGTGTGCAAAATGTTGCATAGTAAAATCTTTTTTATAAAGCTTCTAAACTCACTTCTCGAAGTTCACTAATACTCTTTGATAAAATGCCGAGTGCGGAGTTCACTTGTTAGGCACGTGCAGGTTGCAGGTTTTTTATATTAAGTAAATGTTGACGGCAGAAGCCGATAACAAAACTGTAATTTTTAAATTTTTT